CATTAAGTAAATATTTTTACTGCTTGGATGAGTCCAGCTATAACAAATGAGAGAAAAGACAGACCCAGCAAAAAGAGAGAGGGATGGTAGTGTGTGGGTGGTAACTGTCGACATTACAGCAGCCAACTTTTACAGTTCAGATGACAGATTTTAGTTAACTGTTAAGTAACAGCCAAGCACACAGTAAACCTCAATGAGAGGGTGGAGTAGTATGTTCACCTTAGAGATCACTCAAATATTTCAAATCAGTAAGATATATTTCTGACTTTACAGTGATTTCTCAAATGTGGAAAATTTAAAGCAACTAAAATATGCCTGTAAGGCAATACTACAATGAAAAAGTTCAGATTAGACCCCGTTTATGTTGTGTCTCACTACGATACCACAACAAAAGAAACTTGGTGTACTGCAGGGTAAAAATCACAATGTTTTGACAACAGATACTGTATGTGTCATTTGTTTCCATAGTTTTCAATAAACACATAATCATACTACAGAGTATGATTTTATCATTTGTTTTTTCCCTAAAATATTCCAGTTAGGGCTGAAAATTAGTCCGATTAATCAAATATTGGAATGATCATCAACTAATTTAGTAATTGATAAATCCTTAAATGGAGTATAGCGACTGTAAAACATGCCTTTAGCTAACAGAGAGACCCAATTAGAGCAGCAATTATACCAAAACTGTAAAAAGATTTAGAAAAAAAAACATTTATGATATGCATTTAAGATAAAAAACTATTTAATCTGCCATTATTCTCTAGAACCCCTCAAGTGGAATAGTTTTAGATTCACATGGTTTAATTCTTCTTGAAGAAACCATTTGCTAACCGCTTATTAATTGTTTAATTGATCAATAATCAACTGATTAAACGATTTGCAATATAATTGTTAGTTGCAGCCCTAATTTCAGCGCTTAATAACAAATAATTACAAAAAAGGTTTTGCTACCTTATAAATTGCAAACAATGTAAAGTCTAAGCAGCAGAGAGCTGCAGCACCTGATGTATACTCAGAGTTACTGGAGATGCAACACTAAACAGTGAAAAAACACTACGTTTTGTATTTACCACAACAAACTTTAGAGTACTGAGACAGTAACATAGTTCTGCAATAGGAAAATATAACTCCAAAAGCCACCATTAAACATCTCTGACAGCACTGAGGTGCTTTTGAGACAAATATTGACAAACTTGAAAATATTTTGAAAAAAGAAACTCCACTGTAAGGATAAAATGGGACCTCATAGACCCATTTATACCGTTAAAATGCAAAACAAGTGGATTTTAGGGTGTTTTACATTTTTATTTATTCTTTTTGTTGATGACAGGTCATTTGAAAGCACCATATAACACATAGCAGATTCCAGAACATAAAAGCTTCCAGAAAGCTGTAAAATACATGCTTAAAAAAAATTTCCTGCTAAATAAATGGCTGAGAGATTATTTTATTTCATAGAAATTGAGAAGTGTAATCTGAGGGACATGACATAATTAGAAGGACATTACCTTTGAAGAATTGACTGTAATGCGTTCAAGTTTGACTAAACAAAGCAAAATGAAAAGCGGCATGAATTTGCAGAAAAAAAATACCATTAAAATACCTGAAGGTTTTACCAAACTAAGCTTAACCCTTTGACCAACACTTCTGTTTTCAGTTTCCTTCACTTTGCACAGCTGTCACAGATACAGGGCTGTATAAGAGCCTTGCATACCTTGTCTTTCCTTACTTCAATAATATCAGTGGCTCGGGTTTTGAAACCCAACCATTTCCTGGTTATGATAAGTTGAACTAAAGGGGAAAAAAATTCCAGCACAGAACAAAACATGTCTCTGCAGCATGGGCCCTAATCTGGGACACACTTCTGAACCATTGCGAGAAACTCTCGCCTTTGTAAAAAAAAAAAAAAAAAAAAAAAAAAAATAAAAAAAATGATTCCAGCAAGAGCAATATAACACCCACCTTTTCCTGACTAACAAAAACAGTTCTAGCAGTCAATACCAGGTACCAAAAAAGATAACATTCACCTCTGCTCATAAGAAACAACATCAACCATCCTTTTCTTAGGCGTTTCCAGATTATTGAAAGGAAAAGAGCCACTAAACCCTGCATGAGCCCCTACTGCTCCAGCTGTTTCCCATAATTTACAGGCACAGGCTGCACATAATGAACTTTTTATTCTTAACAAAATCACAGCATTAATACTAAGACATTTTTAACATGCAGCATCTTGCTCAGGTTTACCAGCTCATGCATCAGTTTTTTCATGCTATTCTGCACAACACTATGAAGCAGGGAGGTTTCAGGAGGCCTGTTGTGACACAAGCAGCCGGGATGCCTTGCAGCAAGAAAAGTACAGCTTGGAAAGCCTCAAATACCATAAGGCCTATATACGAGGGCTCAGTGAGGCTCATTCTGTAAATCATGTAAAGGGAGGTAAAATGATAGTTAACTCGTCAAAGGCAAATTGTCATCAGTCTTTCTGAATGCATAAAAAAAATGAATGTGCACATTTAAATGGAATTTCAAGAGATCAAAGAGAACTAAAATACATATAGGAGAGAACAGCTAGTTAACAAGATCTGATACCTGCCTTATTAATCTTCAAAGTTTAATGTTTTATGAATTGAGAACTACTAAACCAATCCCATCATCATGAAAATACAGTAATTTATCTTTTTCATAAAATGCAAATGACTGTCAGGAATTTTCTCTGACTAAAGTGAGCAGAATGTGAGTTTCCCCTCCCCCACTTGTTGTAAGGAATGGCCAGTCAGCCAGCTGAAATATGTCAATTATGTTTTGTCTTCTTTACAACAAAGACAAAACAACATGTGTGGAAAAATATCTGGTCTGCAAACTAAATGGGTCTCACCCTTCACCCTTGTTAAGGTGGCGCTGTGCCATTATTAGATTAAGGTATGAATGCTAGCAACTGGAAGGCCTCCTTTGCATTTAACCAGATCGACTGGTTATTAAAGGTTTATTATATCTGAGTAATTCTATAAAGAGAATTCTGGTCTCTGCAGGCAACGCCATAAACTTTAATAAATTACTAAATATTGAAATAATTAAGATAATTTTCCAACAAATGGCAAAACTCTTAATTTCTGCATTATTATTGATTTCCATGCTTTTACTGACATTTACTTCTCATGCTTGGTTTACTAGCACCATGAATGACTGCTAAAAGACAAATGAGCAGTTTGTGAGGAAATGGAATATATTTCTAGATTTTTTTATTACCTATTGGTTCTCCTTTATGAAAAGGAAATGTAGTGCTTCATGTTTTCATTATGCCTTCATGTGATTTCAGTGACGAATAGGTGATAAATTTATCTATGTAGCTGAGAGAAAGTGGCTGGATAAGCTGATCAGGAAAGTCAGCTCTTTAATTGGCTGCCCTCTGGACAGGAGGTGCAAGAGGCAGGAAACAAGAGGATCGTAACTATATCTGTTGGACAATGTTTCCTACCCCATGCATTAAGCTGTTGCAGTCGGAGAGCACCTGCAGTGACAGACTGCTGCAACCTAAATGCACCAGGGAGCGTCATCACAGATCCTTCCTCCCAGCAGCTGTAAGACTCACTGTTCACAACAACCTCAATAAGTTGTTACATTGATGCTGATTTTGCAGTTTTTATCGTCATCAATTAAATAACATGCTGCTGTCATTTTGCATATCTCTTTTGTTGCTGCTATTTTCAAATATCCATTACCGTTAAAATATCCATAGCTGTACATTGCTTATTTATTCTCCAGGTGCACAGTATTTATATTGTTAAAACATTTTACAATAAAGTAAGTTATTTGTATATTTTTAACTCTTTACTATTATGTTACCCACTTATCCCCTTTTTTATAAGGTTCACATTTGTGTGACTATTCTTCTATAATCTTCTTGCTGCTGTAAACAACAGAGTTTCCCCACTGTGGGACAACAAATAGATTTTCTATTCTACTTTATTCTATTCTGAAAGGTTATTGCAATGTAGGAACATCCTACTAGCCCTCACCTTACATTGCAGATTGCCCCAATAAGTCATACTATTGGTAGAGTGACACATAAACATAGGGCTGATCTAAGCAGACAAAATGTAACCTGTGGTGAAATACAAGAATAGTTCCACATAACTGAAGGAAAATGTTTTAGTGGCTGTGGGTACTTTAACTTTCCTAACACTTTTTTTTTTTATACTCACTTTGTTTTCACAGCTGGGTTTGCACAGCCCTGTCCCAGATGACCTCTTTCTGTGACTGTGTGCAGAGAGACAGTAAAGGGGAAGCTGATGGGAGGACAGCAGGAGTCTAACAGTAAACCCCATTAAACTGTAGCAAAGTGAACAACCCAGTAAACCAAACAAGGGGGAAAGACCGAGATCAGCTTGAAGGGCTTTTTTTTTTTTTGTTAATGCAGTGACAGCTGTTTAATTTCTGATTAAGGCAACTTTGCCATACAATGATAACAGTTGGGGTTTAATATTTCCACCAACACCACTTAACCATTTATAGGGCAAGTTACATCACTTGCATACCCCTTACAAATAGAGTCTTATATATTATTAATTTCTTAATATATTATATATATTGACATAGATTTTTTGCCATCAAAATATCCATTTTTTTTTGTCACAAAGGAAACAAGGTCTTGTCCTGGATTCCCATAACACTATTGGCTTGAAATTTTGATTTTCAGACTATTTCAGTGCCCTATAAAGGGTTAAATGATTTGCAATCGCAACACAGGAAGCACCGTTTTATTATTTTTTTGCAAGCGTCCGTAGCTACAACAGAAAAAGTTGCGAAAACCTAAGAAAAAGTTCCACCTCTCACATTGTAACATTGAGTTACTCTAAATAATTGGTGCACCCATAAAGAGTTTTAAAAGAAAGCAGCACTATACAGTGTAAGGAAACCGCAGCACAGTTTAAACGCACATCAGCTGTTTTTTGTGTGCGTGTTTTTTTCTTTTTTTTAAAGTTCCTGTGCGCACTAACCTGAGTAAGTCGCCCCAGGCGGCACTTTATGTTCCGCTAGTGAAAGCGATTCCGCTATTGAAACGAAAGAAACCAGAAATATATCAAAACTTGCCGTTTTTATCTATAGGAAAAGCAGTCCCGCTTTGAAGGCTGGTTGCTGGCAGTTTTCGACCTTCAGCTCCACGCTGTTTCTGCAAAGCTTGCAAACAGAGCTGCTGCCAAGTCCGGCTGTCTGTTCAAACTTAAAATGCTTTCTGCTTCCTCATTGGTCAAACCTCACCATTGCGTTGCGTTCACGTGCTGCTGGTAAACGCCCTTTTTTGTTTTTTTTCATTAGGCTGCATTTAGAAGTTTTCTTACGTACAAAAAACGAAAACATTTTACAGCTTAAATGTATACAATATATTCTACTAAATATAGAAACGTCAAATAAAAAGAATGACTTCCATAAACATCCGTTGCTTATTTCGGTATAATCCAATTTATTAAAAGTATAGCCTTTACGAAGCGTTATAAAGGGTACATTCCTTACCTCCAAATTAAAACCTTTCTGGCTTTATTTTAGTATTTTTTCCACATGTTATATCAATCAAAAATGCCTTCTCTGCAACAGGAATGCATTTTCCACCTCTAGAGCCACTTTTTTTTTCTGTCAGTCAATAAAAAATCCAAACTATAATTTATTTTTCTTACAATTCGCTTCTTATGTCCGATGCAGGACCTGCCAAAAACTTTATATTATAGCGCACCCTACCGCTCAAAGTCAAACAATAAACCATAACGTGCGGCTTTTTGTTTAACCCTTCATAGGGCACTCAGTGAAATAATTTGAAAATCCAAATTTCAAGCCAATACTATTACTGGAATACAATACAAGAACTTATTACCGTTGTAACATAAAAAAATGATATTTTGATGGGGAAAATTAATGTCAGTGTAATAACTATAACTTCCCCGAATATATTAAGATAAAATAACAAAAGTGCATCTATAAGACATTCATGAAAAACACTCTGAGAGTGAAAAAAAACAAACATTTTTTTTGTACAACCTTAGAGGCATTAATGCTGATACTGGCACCTACATTTTTTTAGTTTATAAACCTAAATATGGTTGTTAACTAGGTTTATTAACTTTTTAACTTCACTTTTCAAATAGCTTTTTACCTTTTTTTTTCTACTTAATTTACACTACACTGGAAAGAAAAATCTACTGTAGATAAGTCCTTTTTCTTTGAAATAAGTGCATTCGTTCTTATATTGAGGAGATAAAAGAAAATTTTTTTCAAATGGAACAAGACAGTTTAGATTTAAAATACGTATACACAATTGGATTGTCTTATTTCGAGTGCATATTGTTAAATTATCTTATTTCAAAAGTAAAAATACTCATTTACCAATTCAACTCAAGGGTAAATTCACTTAATTTAAGAAATTTTTACTTGTTTCTAGATCATTTTTCCAGTGTAGGTAATATATCATTCAGGGGCTCATCTAATTGGTCAAATGCCAAAATAAGATGTACAGCCAAGTAGCAGTATCTTTGCTGAATGGCTGGATATAGATCTTGTGCTTCCAGATCTCACTGAGGGACGTGGGGGTCTCCATTTGTAAGGGGTATGCAGGTGATGAAAAACAGTAACTTGCCCTATAAAGGGTTAAAGTCAGTTTACACAGCCAAAAAATTACCCAGTGACAAACTTTATTGTTGTTGTAATTATTGTTAAAAGTTCTAACACAAAATGTTTGACTTTTCCGCAGAAATAAAACAAAAGAATGATTCAGACATTTGGGCATGAGGGAGTTTATTTTATGTTACTTTGGCCTAACATGCTGTCTGGTTGAAATGATGCATTTATTCAGATTGCTTTTATGTTTGACATTATAAAACTTCAGTAGGGCACACAAAACATTAATCACGGCAAGTCTGTGACAAAATAAAATTAGGTTTTGGATCGATCACGGTAACCTCATCGCTGCAGTGTTTATGCATTTTCTGCTGACCTGCACACACATGTATACACACAAACAATGTAAAAGGTCTATCCATGCTGCTGATCTGTTTATACTTGGATACCCTGAGAACTCTGAACACTATGCATGACTGTCATTCAAGCAAGGAACACATTGTACCAAACATTATTTTTGACTACGTTTTGTCGTTTGCTGGGAGTAAGGCTGCAGCTTTTCATGGGTCCATTTCTCTGCTATTTTTCAACACTGTAAATAATGCTAAAAGCACAAGCAGTGATGCAGATCTTTCCATCTTTAAAGCTTCAGATTAGTTGGGTAACACCAGGCCAACCTGAAAAAAAATAGAATAAAATAAAATGAAAAATCTGATAGTTAGAAATATGGATGGCTGCAAGCTACCATTGCTGCAGCCACAATGTCTTCAAAGGGTGGTCTGGTAAACCAAATAAAGAGAGTGGAAAGTGAAGAAAAATGGAAGCTTCTTGTTTTTGCAATTAAAATTTACCTAAAATACACTGGAATGACTCCAAGATAGAAAACTGGCACATATAGAGGTTTGTTTTATCGCCATTTCAAGGGGAAAATTTTCACTATCATGATAAGTAAATATTAATGATAGACAATCAATTATGGTTGGTGGTCAGTCCAGGAAAACATGAAGGACAAATTTCTAAATATGTTAAGTTTGTCAATTTATAATAAATTATGTTATACACATGTGGTACATATTTGATAAAGTTGCTTAGCTTCCTAGAGAGTATCTTTAGCGAATTCGCCCAAAATCAGTGGCGCAATGCTCACAAATATTGCAAAGAACCCCAGTTTTGTATGATTTTACAGCTCTGAGTTAGAATGTCAATGTTCAAAATAACACAGATAGAAGAAGTCTGATCAAGAATTGGATGTTTTAGAAGCTTGTCTATTTTTCCTTTAAAAAGGTTCAGATTGTGACCGAGCAATTAAATGAGTCACAAAACTGTTGCAAAATATCATTTGGACAGATGAGTGTAAAGTAGAGATGTCTGGTCAAAGTACAGAAAAATGTTTGGAGGAAACAAAGTACTATATCAACAAACAGCCCATAGCAAATCTAACATAGTGGTTCACCAAATGTCCCTAGACTCACATTTGAGGGTAACTGTCCAAAGAAAATAAAAAGATTTGTCATAAGGACAGTGATCCCACAGCAACCAAATCTACACAAGAATGAGCAACCAAAAACAAAGAAGCCCAAATTAAATGCTTTGGCAGCACCTTCTGTAAGCTGTGAATGACAAATTTTCATTTTTCAGGTTTCTATGTGTAATAAAGATACAATAAAAGACAGCAAGCTTTTCTTTCCACTTCACAATTATGACCTTTTTATGTTAGTTTATGGCATAAAACTTAAAAAGAAAAAAAAAACATTACTACTGAACTTAAAACATGTGCAATGGTTTAAGTATGAAATCGCTCAGATTAAATAAAAACTATGGCAGATTATTGTTTAGTGAAAGATTTAAAAAAAGTTCCAAGATGATCCCAGCTCAGAAAACTTTAACATACACTGAAAGACAAAAAGAGCCTCTATGCAAGAGCTGTTTTTCAGAACAGTGAGTACCTTGTTGGGACTCATGGGTGGACACATCCAGTTGTATAGGTAGTAATGGAGACTTTTGTCACTGAGGGTGAACTTTAGTTTTTCCAAAAAACTCAGGTTATCCATCACATCAAGGGCACAGAAGATGTCAAAGCCCTTCTGTTTGTGGGAACAAAATAAGTGTATAGTTATTTTTTTGCAACAATGGGCCTGGTTGTTAATTCAGAGATGTTTACTTTCAAATTGACTTACACTTTTAGCCCGGATCAGAATGTCCTGCATGAGTTCATCCATCCCTGTTGCATTACAGGCAGCGTAAAAAAGAAACGCTGCTTTGAGATTGGTGTGAATAGGATGGTTTAACACCCTGGAGCAGACGGTATAGAAACTCACCATGTCGGTCAGAGTACCATCGTCTGCCTGTGTGCAAGGAAAGGAAGGTCAATCAATTTTTTTACCCACTGCAGAGCAGCATAAATTCTTCACAAAAAGTGTTCTCTAAGTTCAAAGGAATTTAAAGTAGAGATACAGGGAGGTCAGACCTCAACCACATAGGTGTCATTCACATTCTCCTTTGGTAAGAACCAGTGCTCTATTTCCTGCGGCGATAAAAGGGGGCTGAGGTGGAAGTTGTTGAAGTTTTTCTCCAGTAACAAGTGGATCCCTGAGGAATCTTCTTTGGTCATAGGACGCAGACCTTTAATCTTTGTCACCTTGAAAAAAAAAAAAAAAAACGCAAAACTTTAATGTTTTATTCAATATGTTATTCAATAACTTCTTTTTCAGTCTAACATCTCTGCACTTTCAGCAGCAGTGCTGTAGCTTTGTCTTTAGATGGCAGTACACACTAACCTCAGGTAAGTGGTTCAACCTAATGGCTCGCTGTAGATTCATGCTCTGCTTCAGACCGGGGTAGTTGACCTCCATTAGCTTACGAGGATTCAAAGGGCGATGCCATTGGCTAAAGGGATTCATTATTTCATAACATGGATGAAAAAGACAGATGTTTCATTAGAGGAAAAAAAAAGAATCAAATGTATGGTCTACAGGAGTCTATTATAAATGACAAATATGACCTTGCAAAAGTTTTGACTTTAAGTCAATCACTAACACCTTAAGTTTGTTTAAAAACTAAAACAATGTGATTGTTACTCTCTCCCCATATAGGGTTTTACTTGCTGCTACGATAGACCTTACTGTGTTAAGTTTACCATTAAACATAGACTTTGTCTCATATGATCCTTCATCCATGCCAAATTTTAAGATGACTCTTTTTATTTTTTATTCCCGCTTATCCATATTTATGGACTGAGCGGTTCAAAGTTGTCCTGTCAGTTTTCACTGGAGCTCTGAGTCTAAGGAGCTCCTGCAGAATTACCACCGACCCTTTGGCTGCATCCCTGATTAATTCCCTATTTGCTGTCTGTCAGTTTAGGAGGAAGGCCATCTCTTGGATTGCAGTTATGTTGTAATCTTTTCACTTTCAGATGATTGATGTACGTGTACAGTAGAAGAGCTCTGCAAGATGTTTAAAACATGGGACATTGGTCATACATACTTTGAACTTATCTAAACTTATGTCCCTGTACCTTCTACAATGTTACT